TATAATGGATACTACAAATTACGACAAAAGTTTTTGTCAACTTAAAAATGTCAATGTTAAAACCACAAAATTTTTTATTTCCAATGAGCTGCACAATCGGTCTTGCCGATGAACAGACCTAGTGCGTTCTCCAGAGGTGGTATCCACTCTTTCAGGACCACCACAATGGGTGAGATACCGTTGGTCATGGTAATTTGGACGTCTAGTTTCTGCCACACTAGATGGCAGCACCGAGACTCTATTTGGATCCTGAAGTGTACTAGGAATTTAATTTTGCGGGAAATTCCGAGAGTCAATAAGACACTCCAAGGATCTTTTACATGCCGCATAATCATACGACATGGCCGCTGTTTATTTTCTGCATCCGGTGTCTGGGCCGGGGATCGAACCCGCAGACTTGGGCTCAGAAGGCCGACGAAAACCACAAAAATTGCATGAAACAAATGCTGAACTTATTAGCCATTACTCCATTACGAAAGATTTTTTTAATTTTAATTTACAAATTTTTTTTATTTGAATAAACTATATTTTAAAGAGAAGGTAAAAATGCAAAGGAATTTTTATTTATTTCTCGCATGATAGACAAAAGTGAAAAATGGATACAATGTTACTTTATTTCCTAATTACGATCTTGAGCCCTTATGTAATAGACCACTGGCTAAGTTATCTTCCACCGAACGAAAAAAAAATATTCTTCAGCTATTTTAAGAACCACTCATTTCAAAAGAATGCACCATTTATTGATTTTGTTTTACCATCCCTACCAACAAAATTTTTGCCTATTCGTTTATCCAAAAATAATTCGATTTTTATTATATCTATACATAATAATAAACGCGGCTGTGTGTGTGTCTGTAATCACAATATATCACCCCAGAAGCCTCGCCCGGGCACGAAACTCGGCCCATAATTGTGTTTTGACATTATGAAGAAGTATTTTTTTTCTTTTTCAAAAATTTTGATTAGTTATTTAGTTATCAGTCATTTTGTAAGTCTATGCTTTTCGTCTGCTTTTTCGTCTTCAAAGAGCCATATTCAAAAAACTATTAAAAAATGCATATACTTTTCCCCACTCTTATAAATGTATGCTAATGCGAACCTCACAATTGAAATATTAATTTTCGACAACTTAAACCAATAATATACGAAGGAATTAATAATTTAATTGTAAAGTTCGCATTAGTTTACATTTATTAAAGTGGAGAAAAGTTTAACTTTTGTATTAAAAATGTGGCAACATATTCGATACGTAAATAGAACGCTTCGCTTTGATATATTTGTCGCTGTTCATAATTGTTATAATAAGTTTTTCTTCTTCTTTCCACGCTCTTTTTTTTTTTTCTTAAGCGAAGACGATAATTTTTATAGCGATATTGTAGTACTTTGTACAACTAAAAATTCTTTTCACAACACTTTAAAAATATTTACTTTATTTTCTTTATATATACAGAGAACAGTCGGCAAAGAATTCGATTAGGTTGAAAAACATTTCGCTAAAAAGGAACGAATTCCAAAAGAAAAAATAAACAACTTAAAGAATAAAAATGCTGATGCCAGCCAATTTTTTGAAAGTTAACTTAGAAATAACAAACCAAACGATGTTAAATAACAAACCAAACGATGTTAACAAAATGACGTAGAAAGCGCAACTAGATCAAAATTATACAAGCACAACTAGATCAAATTATAATACCTGAGTGCTTGACGTAACAGATATAGAAATAGAATTTGATACCATAAAAAATTATATAGAAATAGAAATTGATACCATAAAAAATTTATTCGTTTTCGTGTTCTTTTCATGTATTTAGCATTTTAGTTTTTTTTTTCTTAAGCGTTGTAGCTATATAATTTCAAACATCCTCAAGAGCTATAACACATCTGCAGCAGAACTGGATATGAAGACAAAATTGCTGGACAGGAACACTTTAATTGTCCACTAATCTTCAGATTTCCTGCTATGTTTTAAAAAACTTTATTTGTGAAAACCTTCAGCGTGGCGGACAGCTGGCCGCCTTAGGCGGCTAGTTATTTAATAAGAATTGAAAAAGTTTAAATTGTAAGTTTTACAATTTCTACATCAATTCCAAAAAAAAATTTTTTAAATAGGAAAAAAAGAGAAAAAAACTTGAGCAAAATCGTTTGGATAGTTCCTGCGAAATTGAACTTTAAATATGTGACTTCTTAAAAACTCAGTCGAATTACGAAAATACATTTAAAAAATCAAACGTCATTCCGGGTGTTTTGAGGTTTAGTTTTTTTAATTTAATAATATTTTTTGTGCTATGTTCAATCTGTAGAAAAATGCATTATACTCGAAAAACGTGTTTTAAATTAAAATACTTATTAAAAATGAAGACAAAAGAATTTCACTCGTCTATTTAATCCTTTTTTCTGCTATCCTGAAATTAAATAATTTAATATAGCTATTCACTTAAAACAGATTGCTTACCTGCTGTTGTGAACTGCTGTTCTAAATAAACTTCTAGGAGACAGAAACAGACTGAATTTCAATCAGTTTCATCTCATAACAAATTTGAGATATAGCATACTTAGGTTAAAAAAAAAAATTCCAAATTTATTGAAATTTTAAGTTTAAGATATTTATTTTTTGTAGCTCAAGGACTGAGAAAGCTCATTTTAACGATGAGTGAAAAATAAGGTATTATTAAATATAACACAACAATCGAAATTACTTTCATAATTTATTGTTAAAATTCACAAATATTACACACTTTAAAAAAACAAAACAAAAAAAATTTAAATTCGAGTGACATTACATTTAGTTTATATACTGAAATCCAAGCAAAATATTGGTCAAGCAAAAGTGACAAAATTAGTCACTGTATTATTAACTAAGTGACAAAATTAGTCACTGTATTATTAACTTGGTGACAATATTAGTCACTTAGGCAATACATTAAGATGTTTTTTTAATAAAGAAACTGTTTGAAATAGGACACAAGAGGACCTAAATGAACTACCACATATGATGAACTACCACATATGTATTAAATATAACACAACAATCGAAATTACTTTCATAATTTACTGTTAAAATTCACAATTATTACACACTTTAAAAAAACAAAACAAAAAAAAAAATAATTTAAATTCGAGAGACATTACATTTAGTTTATATACTGAAATCCATGCAAAATATTAGCCAAGCAAAAGTGACAAAATTAGTCACTGTATTATCAACTTAGTGACAATATTAGTCACTTAGGCAATACATTAAGATGTTTTTTTTTAATAAAGAAACTGTTTTAAATATGACACAAGAGGACCTAAATGAACTACCACATATGTTGACAGCTCATTTATTTATATTTATAAAGTACAATAAGCATATATTATTATAATTATAAAGAAAAATAAGTATATTATATTATAATCACAAAAAGAATAACTTGATCATAACTTATTCACTACAGAATCTCTTTACAGGGAAAGTATTATTATGATTCAGCATGGATAACATTTCTGAATTACAGTAAACAGTATTTTTTGCACTCTGATTACTTTCTTAATACAATTTTATGCACTCTGATTACAATTCTATAATATTTGATAAAAAAATATTATCAGATAGATTAAATATAATTCAAATTTTAATGACTTGTAGAAATGTAACAAAGAAATTTATAGTTTTATAGTTAATTTATAGTTTTATTATCATAAATTTATATTTTATAAGAAATTAACAATTCATAGTAACTTTTATACAATCGTAAGTATAATTTAAAATTCCATGTAAGAATATGGGTGATTCTCACGAAATATGACAATTTACAATCTCTTGATCCTGGAACTTTTTTTTTTTTTTTGAATTTCAATAAATAGCATTGCTGTTAGCATTTTGAAATGACCTTGTACTAGCATCGTCTGTTTTGCATATTTATTAAATTTAATTGAATTACACAATGTCATGTTTCTGGTATGTCACAAGCAATATTTCCAATAATAACTAGCTTCAAAACTTCACATACATTTTTCAAAATATAATTTTTTTTATCTTGTCCTATGTAAGCATTCCTAGAATATACGCTGAGGGTATTGTTTACTAAAACTTCGTTTAAAAGAATTTTTTCAGTCAATGATTGTTTGTTACATGAAAATCTGTCATTTTCCTGGCTAATTTTATTTAGTGGTTTATGACCAAAATAGATAGAAGCAGCAATCAATAACTTAAGTTATTAGACTGATTAGATACCATCCTATCTGAACATGTGTCTTGTTGCATGAATAAAGAACCAATTTTCTGGTTCAAGAACTATTTGAAAAAAAATTTCAAGATGAGTAAGCTTTTATGTTGTCATTTTCCTGTCTTCTTGAAATCATTAATAACATAAACTACATAGATTTATCTGAGTCATTTCAAGAAATCTTGTTGTTTTCTGCGGAATGTAAACGTCTTAGGCCAAAATGTTAAATTAAAGTTAAATGCTATAAAATGGCAAATTTGTCATTTTCCTGGATGTCATTTTGCTGGCTAATGAATGTCAGGACATTAAAGTGTAACCAGAAAATTTCTTAAACTGTATACTGTAAAGGGGGAAAGCAAATATTAACCTATTACCAAGTTCATGTATGATTGTAATATGCTTGAATGTAATCAAAGTTATCTATTTATTTAATGACTGATTATTATACACAATTTTATTCTGTACATATCAGCAACAAAAGCATTTTTAATTCTTTCTACAGTGGATAAAAAGAATTAATTTAAGCAAGTTATGGCCCATCTAACATAAAAATGTAAGTTGAATTACTTAAAATTATTAGCTTAAAATTATTGTTTTTTAAACTTCTAAGCTAATATTTTCTTTTCCTGGCATTCAAGATTTTGTGAATTTCTATTTTATATTTTTTCATTAGCAAATGTCAATAAACTACACTGCTGTCTGTAGGATATTAATAAAATAACTAAATAAGAATACAAAAAAAGTTAGATTATTTTGAAGACTTTAAATTTGAAGAAATTTTTTTGGTCCGAATTGTCATGTTTCGTGAGAATCACCCATATAACAGAATAATTAAATTTTTTCATTATAATTGCAAAAATTTGTGTAAACAAACTCGTAGAATTACTGAGAAATTTAAGGAACTGAAAGTTTTGGAATATAATGATATCATTTCACTCATAAATGACCATTAAAGCTTAACTCCCACTAGTGTGGAAGTCATTCTCCTTTTCTGATTTTCAATTGTTTTCTCTTCTTTTTTCTTTTTGAAGTCCAACTAATATAAAATGAAAGCATCGTAAAAACTTGAGTTTTTTTTTTTAGAATCAGTCTAATGCTAACAGTCAATACACTTATTTACATTAAATTGCACACTTAAAACATTTTATAAGTGACAGATATTTTATTTTATAATATTTATATTTTAATTTAGATAATGATAATGATGCAAATATAATGATGTAAGTATTATGACACGTATATATGTAAATATTATTCGCTATATTAGATAAATACAATGACCAGTACCTGGCAGCACGCGTGGTCTACACGGTCACCAAATTTATACTTTGTCTGATGCCATGCTCTCATATTTTATTTATATTAATTCTTTTACACGTGTTTCTAAAACATTACTTGTTTAAAACCATCAGTAATGGAATAGAAATAAATGATTTGTGTATTCAAATACAAAATTAATGGGAAGGTGGTACTTATTCGTTTTAGAGAAACATAAAAAATCGGCGCCAATGAGACTTAATTACGCTAATGATGTTTGACTAATAAATGTAATCCATGCAAAAAGAAGAAAAAAGCTAAGACAGAAAAGAAAGAAAAAAAAAGCTAAATACTGGAGAGCAAAAGCAGTGAAGTAAAGGTATTTATTTGTGTAGAAGAACCGTAAAAATTCGTCGCACTATCATTAAGGACAATGATGCTTGGTTAATGTTATTAATACGTATTAACTGAAATTAAAAAGTAACTTTTGAACTAAAGTGCAAAAAATAAGGATAAAAGATACTTATTCTGAATTTTTGCAACTTTAAAAAATTTGTATCTAATTATGGACACTAATGTTTAATTAATATTAAAAATGTGTATTAATCGAAATAAAATAAAATATGACATGTGCTCAAAAGCCAAGGTCATAGAGGAAATATTAATAGGAAATTCGTTCAAGAAAACCTTAAAAAATCTCCATTCACAGATCACCCTTAATTCATACGTATCACTGACGGCAATATGTACTTCTGCTATTATAGGAATTGGCGAATTCGTTCTAATAAGAATTCTGTAACAGGCTTTCCGTGGTTTCAGAAAATGTTTTTTCCAGAAGTAGCTTAGATAGTGTATTAAAGTTTAAATGAATTCGAATTAAAAGATCATTTTTCCACCAATAAAGATAAGAATTTTAACAGTAAAATAAAAGTCAGATAGAGATATGGTCATGCTCAAAAATCCTTATGAAATTCTAATTTTTTTTTCTTGAAAAAGCAATTTTAGTTCTCTGCCACTGACAAATATGTATAAACTGAAATGTTGAAGGCTTATGTAATAAATACCAAATATACTAATATAGGTATAAAATATTATATTGATATATTTGGTGATTATTAAAACTGCACGAGCAGTTTTAATTCCGATACTTTGGAATTAAGTGTTTCACGGCCCCTCGAAAGGGAAATATATCTGAGAAAATCGCTTAATAGTGATAAATTTTAACTATCATGAATTGGCTATGAACAATGGCATCATGCCAAGTGATGCTAAATACGTTTTATCTCCAGTTCAATGGTATGAATTATAAACAACGAACTTTGCTTATTTAAATAACATAAAGCCACTGAGCATATAATATTAAATATTAAAAATATTTAAAATTATTTTTGCTATATTAATTGAAAAACTTAGTGGACGAACCAGGTAAGTGACATTGTCAGAGTGAAAAAAGAAGTTATATCGGAATTATTATATTATTATATTATTATATCGGAATTATTATATTATACCATACTATTAGAAAGTGGGACTAATAATTCTTTGCTTAATTTCATTAATCTCTGCCTAATTTAAAATAAAAATCCTGCAAGCATAGTAATGTGGAATAGATATGTTAAGATTAAAGTGAAAGTAAAAACAGTTCTGTTACATTAAACATGCATATATTGACGTAATCACGTCATGTTATTTTCTTTAACGAACGGCGAAAGACCGAAATCTGTGGTTGTTTACTTTCACCGGTGAATGTCGACAAACACCAAAGAATACGTCGGTGAACGATCGAATATTTCATTACATTTTTGTACATTCGGACCCTCACCTGTGTATGTCGACAATCACAGATATGGTTTGGTGAATGTCCGAAATATTTATTACATTCGATTTGATATGAATTTATTCGTGGATATAATTACATTTATTCGATATTTTAACCCTACACTGATGTTTTTTAAGGTTAAGTGCCACTGCCCGG